GCAAGAGGATTTTGAAAAGTTAAACATTCGACAAAGAATGAGAGGTAGATCTGCCAAAGTCATGCTGCACCCAGCTTATTCTTCACCACCAGGGATAGATGCTGGAAAGAAGAAAGATTTGCTGGACTTGTGTAAAAGTGGTGTCATTCCAAGCATGCATGCATCATTTTATAATTCTCTGAAAGTTTCCAGTAGTGTTGAAAAAGACTGATCTCTAATTTGCTTGATAAAACCATAGCACAATTAGTGATACTTTTTTAATGGCTGTGTTAATTTTTTGTGAACTTTCTTACTTTTGTTTTTATTGTTTGTCATGTTTGAACAACATGGGTCTCATAAAACCAGAATGTAACATTACATTTTTCTGTTCTGTTAAAATAAATACTGTAACTTTATATAAAATGTATATTATTATGTAATGGCAAACAGCTGTTCTAAGTAAAAAAGAATGGCAAACAGTTGTAACTGAGAAAACAATAATGACATTTTGAATGCAAAACTGTTGCAACTCAAAAAATATGTAATAATATAACAGAGAAAATACATTTAAATAATATTATTATTCCAACTCAATGTAATGACTATAATTAACATTCAATCCAAATTCCATTGATTTTAAACAATTCCCTGATTTATCAGCTGGAATTGAAAACTTCAAATGGCTCTCCTGAAAAATATATATTTTTGAGTTGTAACTCTCTTGTTCTGAGCAGTTGACATGTTAAGCAGCATCTTACTTTTTGTCAGCAATATATAAAGAACATTTTCAAAATGACACAAAGCTAATCTTCACTTTTGCTGGTCAGCATGCAGCATGATTGTAAGTGATTGGTTTCGATTAGGTTCTTTTTCCTAACTGAGTTAATTGTTTGATATTTTGACAAATTGCAAATTTTACTAATAATCAATTTTCTTGTAATTACTAAATTAAAATCTGTAACATTGAGTTTTATACAAAGTGTTGTAATAAGTTTTCTGCTTTGTAGTCAGAAAGTTCAACACTGACATTTTCAGTTTATTAAATTGGTGGCAGTTTTAAGTTCACTCAACATAAACTAAAAGTTTGCTGGATTATTGGAGTCCACAACTGTATCCAATGAATCACTTGGAATGAAAATGCTGTAGCTTCTTGTAGCAATAGCACGAGGCACTATCAACAAAACACAATTCTTTTGGCACATTTTGTCATTCAAGAACCTTGAATAGCAAAATGTGATAAACCTTGAAGAAAAACACTGGTATATGATAGAGTGTACTAGACAATCATTGAAAACAGAAACAATAAAGGTGATTAATGGTAAGCTTTGCCTTGCTGATTATTTTGTTGCCACAGGAAATTCTGTTTAAGAGGCAGTTTTGCATTTACAGTATATAGTACATACTGTATTACTGTTCTGTAAACATGGTCTAAACCATGTTTGCAGAACATATGGCCATTTATAAGAGTTTGTTTTGCATTATGGTACATAAGAGGATGGTCATTGATCAAGCAGAGATAACCTTCTGAAATGGGATCAAATTACATTATTCATAAGCAGGTTGTGCAGAGGGGATAATGAAACAAGAACAAACAATTACGAAAAAGTTAATGTATCAAATACAAAATTGCAAACTGGTGATTTAAGTGCTATAAAGTAAACTTTTTGAACATTCAAACTAATTTTAGTTCCAATGCATCTATAATATTAAGTAAATCACTGTTAATTTTATTTTTATAACAACTCAATATAAGAAGACAATACCTATATGGGTATAGTCCCAACCTAGATACTATCCATGCTAATGTGAAAACTACAAACAACATGTCACCAAGGCGTTGTTTATGAATATACTTTGCCATTTTTGCTGCCTATAATAATAATAAATGTTGTTTTATTTATTTAATACCCAGAAAAATAATAAATTGTTGAAAATAAACAAACAGACAGACCTCTAAGGGACAATCTGCAAAGTCGTGAACAATTAAAACAATAGTTCCGATACGTGTAAGATTACTCGACCAAGAAAATACCAACAAAAGAATGGTAACAATATGATGAACAAACATCTGTGCAAAATCCTATAACGAGATTATAAACAAATTCAGTTCGCACAATTAAAATGAACATAATATAAATTCTGTAATAGAAAATATCTTCCAATTACTTTTCTTTTAATATCCATAAATTGAGAAAATGTCAATGACGTATAAAATCCTAATTCAACCATATAATACCACCAAACATCGCTTGTCATGGACTGTTCAAAAGAAAGAAAATCCAATTACACATTCTAAAAAAATCTTATTTTTTAAATAATTAAATTATACAAAATAAATCTTTTTATACAAGAAACAATATAATGAATAACTCTAGTAAATGTTTTTGAGGGGCCCGTAAATGTGACAGGCTCTGCGATAGGTTCTTTAATACATATAAACGGTTTGTGTGATAGGACCCGTAATACAAGCCGTATGTTGGCTCTTTTATAATAAGATTTGCGTTAAAGTAGAAAATAATCTGTGTACTAGATTAATTGTGATCGATTTTAAAGTGTCCAATTATGTTAAGTTTATTTTTAGTTACACAAATTGCTTCTCAAAATTAAGTTCAACTTGACAATTTTAGCACGTTCATTATCATTATCTTCTAAATTGTTTCATTATTCAATGTTCATATCTTACAAATTTCTGTTATTTTCATATTTTAAATTTCATATTTCTTTACATTATTAATGTTTCTTATACAAAATAATAATAAAATTCTAAATGTATTGTTCCTCAATTTCTTTTGTAATCTTTTAGATGATTTTATTGTTTCAGTTCTACTTCAGTAATTTTTTGAAATAACTGAAAATTTACATTATTAATAGGGGGAAAAATAATAGGAAAAAAATCAGGATTTTGTTTGGGTGATTTAAATCCTGTTTTATTTCTTTCCGATCAAATCGAGCTCAGGTGATGTCATTCTTACGTGACAACGGATTTAGAATGGATTTCTTCACTCTTTCTTTGTCATTTTATTAGATTTTGTTAGTACTTTTTTTTTTGAATATATCTAAAAACGTCTGTTATTGAAAACGATATATAAAATAAAAAGAGTCCACTATCAATATCAATAAAGTCCATTCTCTATTTCTTAAAAACACAATTTTCTCATTAGTTAAAAATAGCATAAATCGTTGAAAGAGAGCCTTACAACCGCTTAACTGTTTTTGTTTTTTAAATTGATATATTTTAAAATATTGTAAAGCATTTAAAAATATGAAATATTTTAAAATGCTTTGCCTTAAACATATATTTAATTACTTTTTAAAAATGCGTCGAGAAAGTAAAATAAATTTAAAATTTTGTTGAAAATTTTAAAATGTATACTATATATTTACGTAAAAATTTTAGAAAATTTGTTTAAATTCTTTAAAAGTTAGATGGAACGTGTTTAATTAAAAATGTGTTAAAATCAGCTTATTGTCGATGAAAAACGTTAGGATATATTTAAAATTTCGTTGAAGAATTAGGATGTACAGTATTTACAGTATTTTCCTTGAAAAAATTAATGAAATATGTCTAAATTCTTATGGAATATATTTACATAAAATATGTTTAAAAAGCCTTAAAATAACTTTATTTTCGTGAAAAATTGAATATACCTGTACTAGATAATCGTAACTAAAGTAGGCCTACCACTATTCAACACCGTCTGGAGCAGTGATTCCGAAACTTTTTTGAGTCATCCTCCCTTTGGTTCCATAAACTTATATCCAACGCTTCTAACTGTACACCAACGCCTCTAATCCATTTTCCCTTGTGTGAAAAAGGCTTGGAAATAGTCTTGAAGAAACTTTTCTATGAACCTCACACTCTGTGTCCTTACCGTACATTGTTTTCCATATATGAAAACCATTAAACGCAATGTTTCTTACCCGTTTTAATAGAGAAAGGAAAAGGTTGTCAGTGACCCCCAATTTTCGCCCTCGGTTGCCGTTCAGTACTCTGCCTCCAGCACCCCCTGCTGCCCACTTTGGTGAGTAAAGAGATTTACTCACCTAAATTTACTCACCAAAGTGGGCGATTTAAGTGCTAGATTTACTTACCGCCCACTTTGGGAACGACTGATCTAGAGTAATATTTAGCGGTCCAAATGCTACCAAATTAGGCATTGTGATATTTCTGGACATACGAAAGACATTTCCGCAAAAAAATTTGTTTCTATAACTCATTATGACACTTTTGCTAAAGCTTTTCATAAACGCGCGTTTCAGTTGTGCTTCATCTATGATGGGCATCTTACTGGAACTCGCGTGTCTCTTGTGAACTGTTTTATGCAAACAACAGCAATGCTGTGGCTGCATTTCGGGAATTTCATTATCGTAAGAAATTATCCTGTGGTCTATTTACCCCACAAGCATTAAGGGGAATAATTCTTCGATTCGAGGAAACGACGTCTGGGAATTCAGCCACAGTTGAATTCATCCTATGGCACAGTGTGAATAGTAGTCTACTGAGAAACTTGGTGCATTGTTATTCGTGTAAGATTAAGATTAACCCTAAGCTTGTTAACTCCCGAAGAACTGATTCCGGGAGTTTTCCATACCAAGAGTAAAAAGATTCGGAATATATGGCAATTTTTACTCTTAACAATATCAAAGTGCTCTCTTCTATTATTTAGTCTGTCTTAATATATATGTTATGGACAAAGTGATTAATATGGGCATTATTCATAATTCCCGGTCATTATGAATAATGATCAACAAAATCGGGCATTGTAATAAATTTCAATAATTTATCAAATTGACCGGTCATTATGAATACAGTAGAACCTCGATTATCCGCTCCCCGATCAACCGACCCTCGGTTAACCGACCGTCCTAGTCGGCAAATTTCAAATGTCCGCTAGTGATGTGGCGCTACAATATTTGGCTATGTCTTGGCTACTTTAATATTATTTTTACGTGTTTTAGCTGGCAACACTCATTCGACCATGAAAGGGAGCCAGTATTTAAANGTGATGTTGCTGAAAATTATATCAGAATTTTTTGAATATTCCATTCACTATATCAAACAAGAAATTTCAGAAGTTAACATGCTAACACAGGCATGGCCAACATACGGCCTGTCTAATGAATTTGTGGCCTGTGATCAATCTTTCAATATTAGGTTGTGAAGTCTGACTAGCTCGATGAAAAATTCTGATGCCTAAAAAAGAAAAAAAAAGATTAACAACTCATTGTGTGTTTAGAGTTAACCCTCCATTACAAATCTCGTAAGTACAGCATAGTGTTGATAAAGCATGATAATGTGAAAAATGTATCTGTAATCTTTATCTACAATTCAGTCTCTACGGGTGACACCATAATGAGATCTCACACCACCTCAAAAGCTTTCTAGGGCAGCCTCTGGTTCAGCCCGTAGAAAAAATTTTCTTTCCAATCCGGCCCGGGGGCAAAAACTGTCGGCCACCCGTGCTAACATATTAGTACATATGTTACGGACCAAGTGATTAATAGGGCATTATTCGTAATGCCCTGTCATTCTGACTAATGACTAAAATTGGCAGGCAGTCTGATAAATATTGATTAATTTATTAAATTGACCAGACATTATAAATAAAGCTATATTCCCTTCAGGCAATTTGATTAAAAATCTCCACTTATTTCATTTTGAAATAATTCACAAAAAAATAAATACAGTAATTCTAAGTATTTTAAAAAAGAACATGGAATCTTTTAATTAAAAGTAAGTTCTATTAACTGTATTAATTAAACTAATATTAACGAAAAGTATTATTAACAAATTTATATTCCCTTCAGGCAATTTGATTAAAAATCTCCACTTATTTCACTTTGAAATAATTCACAAAAAAATAAATATTTCTAAATGAAATAAGTGGAGTTTTTTAATCAAATTAAAATGTCACACAATTTAAAATTCAGTACTAAACGCAATACGCACTCAACACGATACAATCAGCAACTCAGAGTGCCAATTGGCTAGCGTATGTTGGATGATCACTTTTCAACATACTATTATCAATTTGCCCGACTAGGTGATAGTAGTATTCATAATGACCGGTCAATTTGATAAATTAATGAATATTTATCACACTGCGCGCCCTTTTTTGGACATTATTCATAATGACCGGGCATTATGAATAATGCCCGATTAATCACTTTGTCCATAACATATATACAAAGAGCTGATCGTCTTGTAGAGTAAATACAGGAGGAATAGGCGGAAATAATTCGGAAAAAAATAGGCGGAAATAATAATTCGGAAGTCGAAGAATTTAAAAAGTTTTTCCAAATTCTAGAAGTTTCCCGGAATTTTGTTAAGAATTAGAATATTAAATTTATTTTCGTTGAAAAAAATCTATGAAATATGTTAAAATTTCTTTTTTAAATGGTTGTAACGCGCTAAACTTCTTTAGAAAATCACCAACCTAAGATTAGCCACAACCGGTGGTTGCTTGCCATCGATAAGGAAACCCCATTGATCTTTGCATTGATTGAGCCAGAGTGCAAATAGATGTGTCGTGGTCACGAAAGATCCTTGAGGAATGACGAGATTTATTTTCACTTTAGTGAAACAATGAACATTCATAACTGTCACGATTGGGTCATAAAAGAATTTTCACAGAATGTTTTCTAGGTTTTCTAGCTACATTCGCCTGAAGTTACAGTCTGTTGTGGATTTACAGCCACATTTATTCTTGGTCTATTATTCTTCGAAGAAGTTAGTTCTAATATCTCTGAACTGTCACAGATGCTCTATAACATCCCAGAGATAATAAGATGCTCAATACTTTTGTCATATCACAACAACGGCGACAGTAACTTTAGTCAGACACTTCGATGCAAGATGGAGGGCCTTCACATATCGGATTCATGTTCTGAAATGTCACCATATCGTATTTATCAATAGTTACATTTGGCCTGCTAAATATATTTGTAAACGGCGTTAAATTTCGTTAAAAATTTTGTATACATTTATTTTAAAAGTTATCAATTTAAGATAATTAAGTAATTTGTCACGAATAAATGCATTTTTTGTGTATTTTTTTAGAAATCGCAAGAACGAGATTTTTCAATTATAATTATGTTAAGGTGTCATTTTTAATTAAAAGCAACGCACGAATTATTTTACTTTTAATTAATTTCACGACATGATTTTTATTTTAACATGGTTTCAAAATTCGCTTATTATTATTAGAAATTTTAATTAAGTTATTAAGAAGAAACAAATTAATCGATTGAGAATTTGCAACTATAATTGTGTTAAACGTTATTATTAATGAAGTAATTCTATGGAGTATGTTTACTTCGTTGAAAGAATGCCATTGGAATGTGTTTTAAGAAAAAATGCGGTGGAGTTAAGTTTGTTTTTGTTGAAAAATTCAAAATATATATTCGAATTCATTTTTAAAAAATAGCTTTGAACATGTTTAACTACTTAGAAAAAGTGTTGAAGTAAATTTATTTTCGTCAGAAAAAGTTTGGATATATTTAGAATTTTGTTAAGAATTAGAATATATTTATTTTCGTTGAAAAAAAATCTATGAAATATGTTAAAATTTCTTTTTTAAATGGTTGTAACGCGCTAAACTTCTTTAGAAAATAGCTGGAATATATTTAATTATTTAAAAAAATTAGTAGTTTCGAGTTTATTTTCGTTGAAAAAAGTTATATGTCAAATATTTTGCTGAAAAAAATCGAATATATTTACTTTCGTCAGTAAAAAATTATAAAATACGTTTAATTTTTTTAAAACCAAATATGGAAAATTAAGAAAAAGATAGAAATTTATTTAAATAGTTTATTTTTGGTTATAAAGGTCAATACTTTAATTGAAAAAAGTAGAACATATTTCAAATTTTTTTTATTTTTACGGGCGATGTCACGAAGACAATAATTGTCGGTCCTATACAACAAAAATAAATAAATAAGGTTCATTAAATATAATAAAGTTAATTAATTTAAAATATTTTAAACAATTAAAAATGTGAACGTAAAATACATAAAAACATTTTAAAAATTTATATATAAATTGATATAAAATTACGATTAATTACGATAGTATTGTATAATATTCTTTTACAATTATATTTATATTTATGGTACTCTGGTGAGATTTTATCGATAAAACCCACGAAAAACAGCCATGATGTGTCCAATTATTTAAGAAAAACGTTGAAATAAGTGTACCTTCGTCCAAATAAAAAGCTGATATATACTTTCTTATTTCAAAAAATCAAATTTATTTATTTATTTTCCGTTAAAAATGCTTATATTCATTACAGGTTAAACAAAAAAAACTCACTGTGTATCTATACTACAAACGACACAATATAGCTGTGAATGCTGACATTTCGATCAACTTACAGCAAGAATTATGTGAATTTTCTAATAAACATTTTATTCTCTTTAAATTCTTTCCTAGGCACCAATAAATGCTCATCAAACCTTAATTGTAGAAGAATTTGAACCTGACATCTTCCGTCAGATGATCGAATACATACACACAGGATGCGTTACTTTGCAAGCCAGGACACTTTTAGGTAAGAAAATTGAATATAAAAACAAGAAATTACTCTAAATTTCATTTACTATACGCAAGAATATTCGAAACTAAAACGATAAATTCAGTTTTCGATTTTAGAAACGACGCACTTTACTTTTATGTATTTTTCTTCCACTTCTTTTTGCTCGATGGTCAAGTAAGTGATTTCAACTTAAGAACAAAATGAATTACTACATCCAATATTCTCGGGGAATTCTTTCGCCTCTTATAAGAGCGTTTAAGCCGATTGAGAGCATTCACAAATGTCTTTAAAGTATTGTACATATCCTCGTATGACGCATTACAAGTGATCAGTTATTATTATTATTTTTTAAAATTATATATATATATATATATATTTACATCTTAGACCAAAAAAAGCACGAGAGATATTTCTTATCACGTCTTCTAAAATCGCATTAAATCTTTACAGTAAGATAAATTTAACTGCATAATACAAAATTCGTGACTTTTTAAACGTAAAAAAAGAGAAAGGATAGCAATTACTTTCACTTAAATTCGTATAATTTTATCCGAAAACATTAAAATATTCAGAAAATAATCCCCAGTTTTTCAATTTTGTACATGAAATTGAATAAATGTCTTCGATGTATCATCTATACTTTATGTAATAGTGAGGGAGGAAAACAAAGATAGAGAAAAATGCTCCTACCTTTGTTTTCTTCCCTCCCTACATTTATGGTTAAATAAATAAAGATACAAAAACCATTTTCTCGACTAACAATCGATTATTTATATAATAGACAGCAATTCACTCGACATTATACTTTATAAACAATCGAGTCCACTACAAGAATCAAGGGGTGCAACGATATTTCAATCAATAAAACACGGCGATCGTGATGAACGTCTATAGAGTAAAAGTAAAACTTAATTAATATGATGATTAGAATTAATTATAATTACGTTTATAAGGAAGGATGGTGATTGCATTTTTCTAAAAAAGCACAAAGATTCTTGTAGAAAAATACAATCCACTCTAAATACCAGAGCTGTTATATGCATCGTCATTAAGATAGAAATTCTAAGAATTCCTTGCACACTTGTCATTTGCTTGTAAGAAATAACCAAGAAGAAAGGAAGATTATATCAATAATACGACTAAATAAAGTTTTATTCTATATCAATCGATAGCAATAAAATATAACTAAAAATTCTGATAATTTACAAGTACAAAGTTCAAAATTCTATCTAAAAATATCATTAAATATCTAAAAAAATTTTAAGTCTTTTAAATGAAAATAGTGATATTTTTAGAAGATTTTTATTATATTTAAAATTAGTTACAAAAATTACAAATTTTTGCCAATAAAACTAATAAAATTTGTAATTTGTATCAAACTTTTTGAGGTGTTTTTGGAATTTGTTAAATAGGGAAAAGCCCACTGGTGAACGAGTGGAACCTACGACAAATACTGTCGTGGGTTCGCGCCTCTCCAATAGGCTGACCATGCGAAGTTTCCCGGGTTTTCTTCACGTTCGTAATACCTAAATAGGGGTTAGTCTCCCGGGAGATATCTTCCAGCAGATCATCCACGTGCCATATTATAAATAATATGGCACGTGGATGATCTGCTGGGAAAAACTTAAAGTAATTTATAAACTTGTAAATAAATGAATGCACAATTTTTCAGTTAATCATTAATTTGGTTTATTAAAAATGTTTTTTTTTGGAAAAAAACGATTTAAAAAATTTTTGACTACTTTTTTGGTAATTGGATTCAGCAAAACTCACGAAAATTTTCACAAAAATAATTTTTGTAACACGAAAGTATAATAATATTGACATTTAATTTAAATGATTAATTATATTTTGCTATTTAATCTTATTATATACAAATTACACATTCGTTACAATAATTAAGTTAAAGAATTAAATTATATATTTAATTGAATCGTTGAATGATTTAGTGAACGTATAAATATAATTTCGAATAAATAAAAACCATCATATTTTGGTGATTTTCTTTCATGTTTTAATCAAATTTTATAATTGGACGATTTATAAAATTGTTTTGAATTAATAAAAACGAAAAAAAATGATTAAGGATTGCATTTTTATGTAATTTTTCTTCCTTCTTCCTGTTCCATGTATGGAAATTTGATATTATTTAATTATGTAATTTACAATTTAACATATTTTCTTTCTAATTTCCATAATTTTACATTAATTTTAATATTAAAAAAAATGCAATTCGTGTATTAAACGATACAAAATTAAATGTTTTAATGAAAAATTCTTACACTGATTTTTGCATAAAATTAAATTAGAATTTAAATTTAAACTTACTGCACATAAATATATATGCAATATCGAATTTATTTTCTATAAAAAGTGGTTACAACGATTGTTATATCTATCCAGAATGTGCGATTATTCCATACAATAGGGAAATTCCTATTTACCCTAAATTTCCTTTAAAATATTTTTTAAACATTTAAACGAAATCATAACATGATATTTCAGCAAAATTTACCATAAATATCCATGTTTTATGGTGAAATATTTTTCTGTTCGAGACTATAATCGTTATAACGAGGTAAATCTCATCTAGCTTCATTTTTGCCTAAAATTTATTTAAATTTTAAGAACTAATTTTTAGTGATATATATATATATATATGTAGTTTTTAATAATTTGCATTCTCTATATATATTTTAGGAAATTTAATATTTCAAATTTTTATGATATATTTAAATAAACAATTTTTTTGATATATTTTTTCATAGCTTTGGCAATATTTTTACAGAAAAAAAAAATACTGATATTAGGGCAATTTACTGTAAAATATACATAATTTTAAGTTTCGGATCTTTTATAAATTTACTTTTTATGGTAAATTACTCATAAAAATCGTAAAAAAAATTTAATAATTGAGTAAAGAAGCATGTTAAACAAATGCCAAGTTGTTAAGTTTTTGTTTTTTATTCTTATATTAAAAATATTATTATATTTTAAAATAGTAATAAAAATTAAATATAATTAAAATTTAATTTTTAAAGCTAAAACTTCATCTTTGTCTATAATTATTAAATAAAAATATTTCAGAAAGCGTGACGGACAGATAAAGCAAAAATATCAAACGATTTCTTTTTCATATAAAAAATAGTCAAGAACGTGACGAACAGATGAAAACAGCAACGGCAAAGTCATTTATTGTTTTCACTGTCTGTCCGTCACGCTTTAGATTATTTTTAAACATTTCCTTTTTTCGAAAAAACGAAAGGGAGGGGAATTACTTAGAAATATGTTTTTAAAAATACAGCAATACAGCAATTATTAAATAAATAAATACATTTTCTTGGAATATTTAATATATATTTTTTTAATCTTCTAATAGTTTAATTAAGATTTAATTATTCATTAGAAGTAAAAAAAAAAATATATATACATTCTTGAATATTTTTGCATCTTATGCTTTATTTAATGGATTAATGGAAAGAAAAGTTGTAAATTATTCAAACTTCTTCAATTTTTAATCAAAGAGTACCTTAGATTACCCATTAAATTATAATTAGCGTGATTATCAGAAGAAATCCACGGAGATTGTTCATATCAATAACAAGTTTTCATCCATTATTATTGATTATTATCATAAAAATAATTATTTTATCTTTAAAATATTTATATTTTAATTTGAAATTTGTAATTTTCTTTAAAGATATTTTTATTTAATGCACCAAACTTCAATTACCTTTAATGGAAATTTGACATTAATTTCAAAATAAAAATAGCAACCTTCATGTTTTGACAGTTAGGAAAGATATTAAAAAATATGGAATAAAAAGTTTTCTCTTGCACATAAATTGTGGGATAATTAGTTTTAAAAAATTATATTATCGACCAATCAGCGACGAGACTTTAGATTCAGACGTTAGTGGCGCCGAAATCGCCCGCCTCATTAGACGTCGTCATACGAATCATCGATGACGTTGCTATTTAAATTAGATTTTTAATGCGCATGCGGAGAAGTTACTAATTTCGATTTAAATTACATTAATTAATAAAAGTCGCGTTAATTGACGTTCACGCTACATAAATGGCATCGAAGAATTCGTCTTTAAAGATGCTTAAGTCAAATTAAATAACAAAAGTTTATTACTTGTATATATAATAATACAATATTATATTATATATAATATTATATAGGTATTTTTTTAGCATGAAATACAACTAAATAGGCTAAAAAAATGGCTTTATTTTGAGGGTAAGGAACGAATTAATCCGTTTTATATTGTTTCTTATGGAAAAATTTGTTTCGGTTTTCGAACAACTTTTTACGAACGAATTATGTTCGAAAACCGAGGTTTGACTGTAATTATGAAATCATAACTTTATTATAAGGGCATTTAAATTGAGGATATACAGCCTTATTCTGAGCATTTAATTGTGTAGTTACAGAGCTTAATTCCGAAAATATAGATTTTATCCACAAGACGAAGAGCTTTAATAATAAAAAAATGACGCAGTGTGTAAACAATTATAAAATAAAGTAAAATTTTGTGACTCGATATAAAACTAAGCTATTTTTAATTTTATTAATAAGATATTTAGCAAATTTACTTTTAAAAGCTTAAATTAATTAACAAAGCAAAATATATGCTAATGTAACAAATTAATAGCAATGAAAAAAACCTTTTAAATTAATGATATTTACATAATCATTTAAAATCACATTTTGTTAATCATACTTAATAAACAATTCATTCTTTTCAGGTTTAATGAATGCAGCAGATTATTATGGCTTGGAAGAATTAAGAAAAGCTTGCATGGGATTTGTTCAATGTTGCATCACGGTAGATACAGTCTGTGCATTAATGGCTTCGGCCGAGAGATATATACAATATAAATGCACCAAGTCTTTATTGCAAAAGGTAACCTTTTTTTTTTCTTATTGTAATTAATTATTAAAGACAATTATCCAACTCTTAAACGAGTTATTAAAGAAAATTTGTTGTGTAATGTTGTTTAATCATTTCAAGTTGTAATGATGTAGATGCCTCTAGGGACACGATGAAGTAAACATCGAGTGTCGGTAACACAATTTTTGCCTTAAGCATTTCACTTTGCCGTTTCTACACATTAATCTTTGTAAACTAGTTCGAGTTCCATGATCAACTTAGCAACATTTTTCTGCATCCAGCAGCCCAGCTGATTTATTTTTAGGATCTATTTTTGCCAATAGAATTAATGTAATTCCTGGTTATACTTTTTGCAGTTCGGTAGCAACACGAATTGCTAACAATTCTATCGCGATTGTCGACTTAAATAGATTATTCTGTAATAGAATTAAGATAAATCCTGTTAATATATTTATCGTTAAGTTAAATTTCCATTAAAAATTGAAATAAAAAGCTGGAATTTTCATTAAAAAAATATACAGATAATATTTTATGATGATTTTTACTATCTTATACATTTTTTATTATCTTATAAACTTGTGTTTGTTTTCTTTCGAATTTTGGAAAAAATAAGCAAGAAAAGAACACTGACAACAAACATCTGTAAAATTTATATTTTATTGATGTGCTGTATACTTCCTGATTTTTTGCACGTGTTTCGCTAGTTGTTTCTGTTGTCTCCTAATAACTGTTTCTATTATCTTGGTTGTTAGTAATGGCTCTTGCTTATTGTTTTGTTTTCATAGTCTTACTAATAGTTTCCACTGTCTGTTACAGATTATTTCCATTGTCTCTTACTGATTGTTCCAATTATCTCTTAGTAGCTGCTTCTGCTAGTTTTACATAGATCGATTGCTTCTAACCGACCGTATTGAATCTTAATGGTGTTTTTAAATTGTAAATTTAAATTCTTACTGATTATTCATGAATTTTGCTGCCCTCTTACTAATTATTTAAATTAATTCTTATTGAGTATTTGATATTTCTGTATAAATTAACAATAAATTATTTTGAATAGGTTCTCGAATTCGTAGATCTACACGGTAACGATGTGTTAAGTTTGGGAAGCTTCGCACTTTTGCCAGAACACGTAGTCAGATTAATACTCTCGCGTGAGGAACTACAAGCGGATAATTTATCAAAATTTCACGCAGTATTAAATTGGGGCAGGCGTTACTGTGAAACCGAACCAAACAGTGATTTGAGAGAGATAATGACAGATTTTATCGAATATATAGATTTCTATAAGATACCCGCCGGTGTATTGATGCAAGAGATTCATCCTCTGAGGGTGGTCCCCGATCACGTGATCATGAACGCATTAGCTTATCAGGCAGATCCGGCAAGTGTCGATGTTAAGAATATCGTATCTCCTCTATGTTTTCGTCGTCCCACTCTTTTGAGATCGTTATCAATCCAAGGACCAACACCACTTCCTCTTAACGACAAACTCGATAATGAAGAAGGTAATAAACCGTGTAATGGAGAAGAAGTTGAAGAGAAAAAAGAGAAAATGACAACAAGATTAAGCAAATCTGTAAGAAGAAAATTGTATAGAAGGAGTAAAACTGTTACAGGAGGAACAGTAAATCGTTGACTGAAAACAATCTCCGTTTTAATTTTTTTTTTATAAATCATAAAGTCATGTTTAGTTTGAAAAAATCTAATAGTGCCTCAATTATTTTAATTAAATTATTAATTTTTCTTTTCTTTTTTTTTAAACAATAACTTTGATTGAAAATCGATGTTGAATTTCATGCTTGAAATGCATGGAATTTTCAGTTTTTTAGAATGAGTTTTTAGACTTATTTTAAGAAAAAAATCTCCAAAAAAACTAACTTTATTGAATGTTTTTCTTACAAAGTTTCAATAAATTAATAAAAAGATAAACGTGTTTTAGTGTATAAATCTAATAATATTTAAATATTAAATAAATCAATTTTAAATGGAGAGAAAAATCAATAAAATTTATTAAAATTTAAAAATGTATTTTAAAACAAATCTGAATTTTTTTATCAATTAATTTTATTTGTAAATTATTAATAAAAACCAATCAAATTTTTATATATTCAAATATAAAT